GGGGGCAAAGGGGGGGGGGGCAAGATTTCCATCACCATGCCCGACGTCTGTCTCTGGCCCAGTTCTAGTCGTCGTCGTCGCCACGATTTCCAATCGCAAGTGGTGACGAAGTCCGATAACTCCGTCTCTTTATCTGGCAATTGTTGTATACTTCCAGCGCCGATCGAAACCGCGAAAAGATTGCGCTAAGTTTTTTACATATTCCTCGCCCGGGTTCCACGCCGTCAGATCGGACGGGCCGCGCTCTCGAGGTGGTGAGCGGTGCTTGGCTCGAGTCGTTGTATGACGTCACAACCCCGCATGTCCCGTTCACCAAACGATCTCGCAAGTGTCCCATCGCTACGGGTCGCCGTTTCGTTAGGAAATCGGCATAAAATTTGAATTTTTAAAAGTCCGAGCCGTCAACTACGACAGACGACCGTTGTTGCCGGGTCCCCGTAGAGTACCTACATGGGGAGCGCACGGACATGTCGGTAATTTTGAGGTTTGGTCATGGAGCGTTTAGGGCCCAAAACGCAACCAACCTGTGAAATCAAATTAGCCAGGATTATTTATTATAACGATATTGTTATGACCCTTCGATTGTAAAGCACGTATTTTACTTAATTTTTGCTTTTTACTCATTCATCCGGGAAGTCGCTGAGTCGTCTGATGATTGAAGCGGCATTTTTCTAGTGATTTTTGCGTTAGAGGTTTGGCTGCCCTTTTGGGCCCTAGGGCTCCATATTTCGACAAGACCATACCCTCCCCATATAGGTACTCTAGGTTCCTACATTTTGCACCGAAATGGGGGACAAAGCATTCATGCGGATGGAAACACGGTGACTTGAATCAAAGGATTTTTTCCATGCTTAATACAGATGGCCAAAGTGCAAAAACACAAATTTCCATTGCGGTGTTTCAAAATTTCCGCTTCTTTTCTATTTTTTCGAAGAGATCACACCACACAGCGCAAGGAACGAACCAGCCTTATTACTTTAATTTACTCACACAATTCTACCAACGCAAAAGAAAAGTCAAGTAAGTTTTCCAGGAATTACGTTAACTTGACTTTCGAAGAAATAAATTAAAGTAAATAAATTAAAATATTTTAAAAGTATACATCATAAGCCGAGCATAATCGTTTGTTTCTGAGATGAAACATTGTTAGAGGGTATATGGCCAAATGACCTGATCTTCTGAAATGCATTTGTTTAATGGAAGTATTTCTGTCAAACGGAACTATAGACAAGTGGGGAAGATGGGGTCTGCTTTTGCTCGTGGTGAGCTGAATAAGAAACATTGTTAAAAGCGAGCATGATTCCCTTTGGAAAAACGGGAAAGCGCGATTTTACATTCTGTCAAACGGAACTGGGAGTACTGAATGCGGTGCTCATAAGCCGTGAGCATAGGAAAAGAGCGTTGTGGACAGGACTTTTTGAGTTAATGCCAACGGAAACGGCTTCATTTCCCCTGACGTCACTGGCGCTTTATAATTCCAATTATTTCCTATGGTCCTCGACTGACGAGCACACCCCTTCTTTCCTGCCTGTCGTGGTTCCATTCGGCAAAAATACGTCCGATGGAAAACTCCACCCGATGACGTCACAAAGCGGCAGATTTTTTTACTTTTAAATCTATTTTTCCAGAATTTCCCGTATCGGAAGCAAAGAACTCTCAAATGCAGCAATAAAAAATGATCGTGGAAATTCCCCACCGGGCTTTCATGGCAAATACGTTATGAAACCTGGAAGCGTATTTGTCTTCCAGGTTGAAATTCGAAGCCAGGACCTCCTTTTTGCAGGAGATGGTCAATGCCATAGGGCCCTGACTCAGTGGTCAAATTATAGGTGAGCGTTATCGACGGAGGGACCATCATGAAGCGGAGCTGGATATCGTCACCTTCCGGTCAAAGTATCACAAGCGCCGGGCGGCGTTTAAAAAGCTCCGCCGCCATTTTATTATTTTACGGAGAAATTGTTGGTTGAGTCCGTTTGAAAATTTCACCGAATATTATCGGCAGCGCGAAGAAATTTCAGCGAAATTTCCAGACAGCTCCGTCGCGCAATTTCTCTGTAAAAAAATAAAATGGCGGCGGAAATTTTGGAACGTCGCATGGCGCTTGCGATAGTTTGGCCGGAAGGTGAGGATATGGTGATGGCGGAGGATCGCGCGTGCTCGGATACTGTCGCGTTGTGCGGGTGGCATTGGCGCCTATCGGGGAACAATCGGCGACTAGGTCACGATTCCCGGGCGGACCTTTCACCCGCCACCACCACTTTCCCCGGCTCCGGAATTCGGCCTACGTTCCAACGCGACGCCCTGCCAGGAATGAGACCGGCGGAACGCGGAAAAGGAAACGGGATCGCAATGGAAATGGACCTGACCACGTTCTTAATATCATCGACATCGGGCTACTCTACTCCGGGCAAGCTCCGGGAAATTGAAAAAATGGAGGCGTGCATATAGACGGATTTTGGGATAAATAATTGGCGGGGGACTTAAATTTGACGACTTTTTGCAATTGAGGAGTTTTTCGGAAAAGGGTGTAAGAGGCTTGCATTGCTGCTGAAATCAGGCCCGCCACAAGGGGGGGGGGGGGGGGTACTGGGTGTCTGGTACCAGGGCCCATGGCACGCTACTTCGAATTCAAATATGACCCTTGTCTCGTCTCGTAAGGAAAAGTGAGGAATGTACCCTGAAAATTTCGCAAAACGTGAATACATTTTCAAAAACACGCTGGGGTACTGTAGAATTCTTCTTA